ATCGAGCCACAGGCCACACAATGTGATTGTCACGATAGCCACTTACTTGGTTTATGGTTGCTGAATACACAAGCTTAGTGGCTGAATTTCAGTGGTTCAGTGAAATGGGATGTTGTGCAGCATGGCCATTTCAAATTGGTTGCCGGTCGTTTTAAGTGGCTGGGTGAGTGCTCTCGACAGGAGTTGAGCCCCTTCGGGGACGTATTTACCCGATGGTGGACAAAATTATCGCTCTTATCTTGGCGTTGTTTGCGTGACAACATGTGCTAAAGAATGCGGGGAGTCACTTGAATGCAATAGCTTTTTAAACGTATATTGTATTTGGAAGTGTAATGTGACCTCCTCCGAAGGTCTTGGATATTAGATGAAAATGTCTCCCTATCTATTCTGCCACATGGTCGTTTAGATCTAAGGGGTCTTTTAATAGAAAGTCTTCCAAGGACTCATCGTCTCCCAGGAACACATTTTCAAAGCAATGGATTTGGTGGGACTTGTTCATTCATCGCTGCTTCCCAAGGCTGTGAAACTGTCTGCGCGGCTACTTGTGATGTGAACGTAACCCTGTTCAAGGGGCGAGAGTGTGTTCGTTCCTGGAACATTGTATTTTATTGAAACCGATTTATGTCTTGGACCAGTACAAACATGTCCAACAATATAGTGCTGTATGCAAAGAGGAAACCTTCAGGATTTAGTCATTGCTAAATACCCATCTGGTTTCTGGTGAATCAGACCTCGTAGAAAATAGAATGGAGAGAACTACATTAATTTGGACTTAGTTGACTCAGGTGAGGAACCAATGAGGGATTCCACTAATTTAAACAGTGGCAACCTTTATTTATTTTTTTAATCAGAGGGAGAAGTGCCCATAATTACTTGAGAGTGAGTTTATTAGTCTCTAGGGAATCGAAGTGTAGAGTGTTAGGATTCGAGAGGACATTGAATGGAGTTGTCCAGATAACCATAAGGCTCTTGAACCACTACTAAGCTAACGGTAATTGATACTTAACAGCCAGACATGCGGAGATAAAAAGTAAAGCAAGTGTGTAAATGGAATTAAACGACTTAACAAAAAAATTGTATAAAGAAACAAATGAACGGATGATTGATAAACATTGGATTGAGATTGGGTGAACTTTACTCAAGTTAAGCCGTGATTCTAGATTTGAAGCTTTTGTGACTGCAAGGATTCATACTCTTTGTTTTTTTTCGGTAAAGTCACGTAGTTAAGAAATCAATAAAATTAAAAAAAATGAAATTAGTTGTTTTTTTTCATTTATTTTATTGTTTTTTTTACCTACGTGACTTTACCGAAAAAAACCCAAAGAGTATTAAGCCGTGATAATGAATGCTTAAAAAAGACACCTAGAGAATGGATATGGAGAGTCCCAAATATTGCAATTTAATAATGACAAATATGTATTTCTTACAGACAAACCTCAGATCTAAGAATAGGTTTTTCCCTTTTTTCTGGCAACAAAACTTAAACTTTTTTTTACAAGGAATCATGTGTGCATTAACCACAATACTTGTGGTCAGAATGCAAACAAAAAACGTACTCTGATAATATGATGCATTGTCCTTGAAACTGATTGGTCCACACCAGACACAGCTTTCTTTTGAGCCTCGTCTCAAACGGTGTTAGACCAGAGGACGTCAAAAGGTGCAGAGATGGGTGTCAGATGGACTTCAGCATTGCCCAAGAGATGACGAACTATTGCCTGACAGCCCTGAACACGATTGCAAACTTGGATACATGCTGGTACGCTGCTTATCTTTACAGTTGCTGGGTGTAGGTGCAGGAGGAGAATGTTAAGAATTTCACGGCAGCACAGGGTTAAGTAACTTATCAAAGTTATTGCAAACAGACAGACGGAACCTCTATTATCAACCAGGTAAGAGCAAGGTTGAGACTGCAAGTTTATTTTTCAAGGGAGACCTTGGTTACAATGCAGAATCCAAGAGGAGTTTGCAATGAGCGGGGAGAGTTGTGTGCAAAATGGAAGAGGCACCAGGTTCTTAATACAGGTAGCGAGCACCCAGTGCTCTTGACAATGGAGGGGAAAACCTGAAACCAGATGATGAATGGGCTTTTAGAGCAGACCTTCGAGGACTGCAATCATTTGTGGATCTGGCAGAAGGAAAGAAGCAATGGCTGGATGTGGCAGCAACCCATTAACCTTCATACTGCACTCCGGTATGCGGTGAATTTACAGTGGGGTGCTCGCACGAGCGCACAATTAAAGTGGACATTGAAACTCGGCAATATATATATGATTTGTAGACAGACACATTGAGGCACATCGTTCCATCATCAATGGGGGGGCAGAGATATAGTCACCAGAAAATCACTAAATGTACACACTGGAACATTCACGGAACGGAAACACCGATGCAACACGCACAGATGACTCGAGGGCAAGCGTTGACAACACAACCCGTGCATGCAAGCGTGCCCACATTGACGGGAAACTCCATTCAGCGTCATGAGCCGCATCCGTGTTTAGATGCTGTACGAATCCAAATTGTATTGTACATTGTATTCACGCACAGAGGTGTAGTACATAAACAGTAGTACGCAGAGACGTGTCGCCCTCAGCCTTGGCCCTACGACCTGCATGCACGAGCAACCAGCGCCTTAAAAAGTCTGAGCATAGAAATTGAAGGTTTTCCAACCGTGCATTATCTTCCCATGACTATTCCACGTTGTGGAATATATTATACGCCAGATTTTCCAAATATGTTATGTCAGTCGCGCAGACATTTTAGGAATGTATTCGGCTCAAATGTATTTTTTTTTCCAGTTAACACAAACAAGGTGATGTCAGTAAATTATTTGCCATGACATTTGGTGGGATGGATCGGTGGAAGAGTGTTCTGCACACTACGCCATTAACCCAGCGGCTTGAGTTTGATCTCATCACAGCTGGCACAATTTGTAAGCGATATCTGAACCGATCCTGGGCCCCCCCCCCCCCCCCCCCCCCCCTTGACCAACCCACAGTAAACAGTGTGGTGGAGTATCGTTTTAAAAACACTCTCAACGAGACATGAAATGGGGAGGCCTTTATCCAGCAGCGGATTGAATAATGGCTGACAATTATTGACCGTTCCTTCTTATGGTGGTCAATAATCCAAACTTTCACCCTCCGTTATAGCACTACGATGTCAGCCAGACACCTAGATCTTTTGTTATGTCATCATTTTGAAAGATAACATACATAAGGAGTTCAGAGGCTTGCTGTGTGAGGCAATACAGGAATCGTGGCTTGAATCTCTTGAGAGAAATGGCCATGATGGTAGCAGTAGGAGAGAACAAGGAGGCAATAGACTTATGTATGGCACGTGGTAATTATTAACCTGTGAGTGCAAATCGGCAATATGGACCCGCCGATCAAGCACTGCTTTGTCCTATGCCTTCAGGAGCATTGTGGTAAAAACACTGTCAAGAAGGTCACTTTCATTGCCACACTTATCAACATCATGGGGGTGGTGGGGGGGGAAGAATGCCAATCCCATCATATCTAGCCTGCTTGGGTCTGCAGAATTGCAGAATATTTTTTTATAAGGTCTTGAGGAAGGGGGTAAGTGAACATGTTGTAAACTAAACTGTTTTATTTTTATTTACCAGGCAAGACCCACTCTGAGCTGTATATCTCTTTTGCAGAAGCGACCTGTCCACATATGATAGCTCAGCAAAGTGGCTTATTGTGTGGAAATGTATAGCAGCCAAATAATCTAAACGCATGTTTCTCAATGTGGAGGGAAAAACCGAGGACCCGGAAAAAAAATCCAGGCGACCACGGGGAGGGAGACACGCAGACTCCAAATATACAGCAGGCGTCAGGGTCAGGATCGAACCCACGACCTAAAAACCAGGCAAGGTAGTGAACATTTCGTCACCTTGGGCCCCCCTCCCCCCCCCATGTTGTGGTTGTATAGCTGATGGATATGGCTTCTGCTGTAGTCAACTAATTGCTTCGCATTGGTTAACCATGCCGTGTATGCGAATTACCTGGTGAATGCTGGCTATACTGAAGAGTTAAAAATCTTAATGCGTCACCTGGAGCTTGCTGTAAAGATGAAGTTTAGCCCCATTAAAAACGAAGCACCTGCCGGAGCACTTTACATCGTCAAGCAATCCTCTTGTTAGGCGACACATTGCAGGCTAGATGAGTTCAGGAAAGGTTAGAGAGAAGGGTCGATCTTGTGCAGGAGAAGCTGGTGCCGAGCGGACTTGCATATGGCTGGTGCCAGCAGTGTTATGATATGGGCCTCTGTGGAGGAGGCTTCTGAAAGATGATACTGGGTGGCTGGCTACAGCGCCATTCCACAGCGAAGGCAGGTAGAGGTCCAATGCTCATTGAAGAAAGGATAAGATGGCTGAAACACAATGAGCTGACCTAATGGGCGATGTAACGAGCTGTCATCGTGGTGCATCTTCCAGTCTCCCTGGTCTCGTAACTCATAAGAAGAATGTTTTAGTTTTATATTGTGTCGTTGGTGCAAATTACATCTCATCGCCGTGGAGCCATGGAAATTCTGGAAGGCAGCCAGGTCGTGAGCAGGTGCCATCTATTGCCATAGCTTTGCAGTCTTTTAAGTATTAAGACATTTTCACCCATTAATGAGCGTTTATACAAAATGATTGTGTATATCCTCTGACTTGTGGCCAGCATGTTTTTTTTCCACGCAAGCTATGGTACACACTGTGGCGCAATGACTGCCACCGAGTTGCAAATGCCAGCTGTTGTGTCTGTGTGTGCGTGCAATGTTAGATAATGGCAGAGGGGGGGGGGGGTTGTGGTTAATGGTGGTTAGCACACTGCCGCGACCCTACTAGTCCTGGGATACACAGTGGCAGCCGGCCATGATACCAACCACACTACCTGCTCGTGTGCCTTGCCTCCTTTGTAAGTCCTCGCTCATAGCGTTAGCCCCCTGCAGTCTGCAATTCTAATTGGGGTGCTATTTGTCTTGTACCTGGTGCATGCCACTTGCAGTGCTGGCCCAAAGGGAGACAACATCTACGAGTGGAGGTCCACCATCCTGGGGCCGCCAGGCTCAGTGTACGAGGGGGGCGTCTTCTTCCTGGACATCACCTTCACCCCCGAGTACCCCTTTAAGCCCCCCAAGGTATGTACGTATGTACATATGCATGTTGAACGTCTTTGGCACCGTACATAACAAACCGTGCTCATCGCAGGTGCAGGGGAAGGACAACAAACTAGACGCACAAAGCTCTGGTACCTTTGTCACACACACACACACTTTACTGCTGGGATTTCTGGAGACTGTACATGACCCTGTATTTAAAATACACATGTATCCAAGGTAATCCTTTGATACACGCCAGACATGTTTGCACTGACTCAAGCATACATGGTCGTGGGCATTTAGAAATATGGAACAAGACAAACAAAATATGGAAGGTATTATAGTTTTTTTTAATTTAAACACAGATTAATACATTAAATACCCACTTAACATTTTTATATCTATCTTAAGTATGATGGTAAAATTACAAAACATGTCCATACATGGTGTCTGTGTCAGGTGACTGATTTCTGGTGAATGTTTGGTGAGGAGTGCTGAGTGAGTATCTGGCTAGTGCGAGTTGTGAGTGTTTGCAGAATGATGTCTGGTGAGTGTTAAATGCCTGGTGTGTGACAGACGCGTGCTGAGTGTGTGGTGAGTGCGAGTTGTGAGTGTTTGCAGAATGATGTCTGACAAGTGTTGAATGTATGATGTCTGTCAGGTGAGGGTGGTGAGTGTCTATGAGTGTGTGGTGAGTGCGAGTTGTGAGTGTTTGCAGAATGATGTCTGAAAAGTGTTGAATGTATGATGTCTGTCAGGTGAGGGTGGTGAGTGTGTGGTGAGTGCGAGTTGTGAGTGTTTGCAGAATGATGTCTGAAAAGTGTTGGATGTCTGTCAGGTGAGGGTGGTGAGTGTCTATGAGGAGTGGTGAGTGTGTGGTGAGTGCGAGTTGTGAGTGTTTGCAGAATGATGTCTCGTGAGTGTTAAACGAGTTGTGAGGATGGGATGCCCCTTACTAATGTGTATAAAATTATATAAACGTAATACATGTATACCGTAGACATTCACAATGTTTAGTTACGTACGATTATTAACATTTTATCATGTGCTAGTTAAATTGACACGCAAAATTACTCATTAACAGCAGAAAGGCTGTCATGCCACATTATTTGTACAATTCCCAAATACTAGACATTGAAACACAGACCGCAAAGAAGCTCACTGGTGTCCTAAAGCTCACTATTGAATGGACATATATTAACATACATGCTCTGATTTGTTGGAATATTAAACAACCTCGGTGTAACCCCCACGTTTTATGGTAATAAAATACAATGTATTTCAGAGATTATTAACTTCATGATACCGTTTCGCATTTTGTAAGATGTATAAATGTAACTAATTTGCTTGAAGTGTTTGCAAAAGAGTAAGGGGACACTGGCTCATACGTACATGAGCAGCCTATAAACTATCATCGCATTTCTCAGATATTAGAAGGAACGTTTTGAAAATGTTCAATATATAGAGCAGCTTTCTCTCTGAAGGTCATTTGAGTTTACATTAAAATGTATTCCTATGTCACACGTGTTGTGAGCAACATGCTGTTCACGTTTATATAAATGAGTTATCTTGGTAATATTTGAACAGGGACAACTTCTTTAAGCCAGACTAATTGGGAGAAGAGTCTTTCCAGTGTTGGTGGATGGCCGGCATTCTGCCTTATAATCCCGAGTCAAGGGCGCTCAACATAATGCCCCACCCAGCTTAGAAGTGGTCTTCAACTTACTGACACTGCCAGGTACCCTTCCATGCCAGGCCTCGGCATTGCTCAACCTCCAGGTAAAAACGAGGCTTTGTTCATACCAAGCAAATATGCGTCCTGTCTGAGAATACGAAAGCACATTACAGACACTGCGGGACTTTTTCGATTTAAAGCTTTCGTGACTGCAAGGGTTCATCTTCTTTGGTTCTTTCGGTAAGGTACCTTTCACCTGAAGACGGCCGCTTGCGTTGTGGCCGAAACGTCGTGAGAATTTTATTGTGTTATTTTATTATTTTATTCTCATTCTACGTGACCTTACCGAAAGAACCAAAGAAGACTGCGGGACTTGTTGTAACGAGCTGTGAATCTCGTCTGCATACCCTTCTTCTTCTGCAGGTGACTTTCCGTACACGGATTTACCACTGCAACATCAACAGCCAGGGTGTCATCTGCTTGGACATCCTGAAAGACAACTGGAGCCCGGCACTCACCATCTCCAAGGTGCTGCTATCCATCTGCTCCCTGCTCACCGACTGCAACCCTGGTGAGTTGAGGGCACTGCAGCGTGCCCGTGGTGCCTGCTGGACCCAACCACACAGCCACCTGCCCCATGGTTGCTGACCTTTGGTAGTTTCGTTGAGTCACTGTAGCGGTTGTTGCTGTAGTGTCGGGTGAATCCCCCCAGTGGAGGTGGCAGGGTGGGTTTGGAAGAGGCCGCGGGCGTGGGAGCCAGGCTGGGCAGGAGGGAGATTGTGGAACCACCTTAGTGGATGGGATGAGATTTCTGGTATCATTTTAGTTTTACTCCTATAGCTGTAATTTCGTGATAATAAGTGCGGAGCCAAACGTGATGGGGTTTGCAAAAATAAAAAAAAATCACATTTGCCGAGCATGGTTCGAGGCTCAATAACGCCAAGTGATGAGTATTGCACGTCCGATTGGCACGTTTGGCTGCCTACGGTGTGAAAGACGTTCTGCATACATAGGTATCGAACAGCACTACAAGTTACATATTAATTTATAGCCAATGCAACAATAAATATAGGTCATTATTTAATAACTTAATTTGCCAGAGACTGCAAAATTGGGCTCAATATAAATGTGAAAAAAACGTCACGTTTGGCAAGTTTGTTTGTTGGAGGGACACAACTGCAACACACGTGACCAAAGTTTGTCCATCTAAGACGGTTATTATGGTGGACTGGGAGCAAAATGATGACATGAAGAAGTGAACGAGGGTGGGTAGAAGCACTTTTTGAAAAACTGAACTTGGTGATGAAAGCAGGCGGAGCGATGAAATCCCTTTGCGAGCAGGCCCTGGGTCAGTGGTTGCATTTAAAGACCGCGAGGGCTTTGGGAGGCCTTCATCCAGCAGTAGATAGGTCATGGCAGCTGGTGATGTGTCACAGATATATAATTTACCTGATCTGTATCCCGGGGTACTCTGGCTGTCGCATAATGTCCGTGATGCAGTCATTTTTAGTCTGTTGATGGTCGGTGATGCGGCAATCAACTCATCTCGACGAGCTGTACACGATGCACTACGGTGCGTGCGAGCGTTCAGGGTTTCAGCGCAATCGTTCTCGCTGCTTTTCGAAATCACGGAGTAGCACTGATTTCGGATTAATTTGTTACCCCAGTCACTGGAAAAAATAGTGTTCCAGAAATACAATATTTAATTGCCTCGGCCATTTTGTATTATTTGGTACCCCGGGGTACCACCATAAGGATCATGTGAACCCCACTGTTTGTAAATAATTAGCTTGAATCAAATCGTCATTACAAATTGGGACAATTTGAGGTGGATGACATAAAAAAAAACCTAATAATTAGCCAGTATACTGTGGTACCAGTCTGTCATTGGATGCAGCAAAAACGAATTCCTTATGCATTTATTTTGCGTCAGTATCTTGATGTTTTTTAAACGGAATTTAATTTTATTTGCTTTTTTTAGTGATGTGCTCCAGCTAAGCTAAATAATTAAAACGTGACTGCTCCGTTCTGCCAAACAAAGGATGCGCTCCTAATCATAGCCCGCGGTTGCATAGCACAAAAGTATTTTTCTGCAGCGACCACCTCGTGGCACAACAGGAGTTGCCCCGTATTCAGTATATCCCACTGGGCGTTCCTTGTAGATGAAAATCTAATGGCATTAAGCCCCCAAAGAATCTTACAATTTACATTAATTGGCTGTCGGCATCCTAGGGATTATCCCTAGAATTACGTTCCCGTGCACGGTGCGAATGTAGATCGTTTGTTTTTCTACGTTTGTTGCTTTGCTCTGAACCCAGCGGCAAACGTGTGCCACGCCAAGCATGCGAGACCATGTTTGTCCTGAGTAGATGTCTTGTGCTGCACAAGCCAATTTGACAGTGGCATTGTGATTTGCACAAACTGTTGAAGACGTTAATTGTCACACATATAGCAGGGTCCAGCTTGGAATATTTGACCTGTGTCCTATTAAAAACATTTACAATAGGTAGGACAAAGAAGCACCTTATCATCTACATAATGATAAATCGTTCATTATTAACATAGCAAACATATTAACATTATCAGCTAATGAAGTATAAAAATGTTATGCAGGAGGGCGTCGGTTCCATCCTGACCCTGACAATGCCTTTAAATTTGGAGATGGCGTGTTCTCTCTCTCCCCTTGGTAGCGTGGCTTTCTCTTCGGGTCCTCCGGTTTTGCCCTCCACATTTATAAACATGCGTTCAGATTATTTGGATGAATTCCTACATTGTGATAATAAGACACTTTGATGACCTATCATTTGTCGCCAGATCACCTCTGAAAAAGAGCGAATAGCTCACTGGGCTTTACCTGGCAAATAAAATAGTAGGATATTGTTAAGAGATGCACAATATGAAGACAAAATATCATTTCATGTCGTGATACATTGGGATTGAGGGCTTCACCACAAGTGGCACAGAGGGGGGGGGGGGTTCACTCTGAGCACGCTGCTGCTGCTGCTACTGAAGCGGCGTCCAACAGCCTGGCCCTGCGGCCCCCACCACTCCAGCACGCCACGCGTGCGTGTACACAGCGAGCGTGTGGGCAAGGCGTGCGTGTGCACAGTGCCGTGCGTGTGCACAGCGTGTGGGGGAGGAAGTCCCCCGTGTCATGTGCTGGGCAGGCAGTGGTGACGGCGCTCCAGAATCTCAGCGCTCAGGCAGGCACAGGTCTTCCTCATAGGTGCTCATCCGGCGGCTGCTGCTGCACGAAGCTTGTGTGCACGGGCAAGGTGTGTTCCAAAACTGGGCAGATATAGGTCTGATCAACCACACACGTCCCATGATTTCTTACCCAAGCGGTACAATTCACACGGCTTAAACGGTATAACTGCACAGTAGAATAGTTGCTCACCTGTTTTCTGGAATGTTTGCCTTTTACCCCACCATAAGTAAGCTTGGATAATCTGCAAGTATTATGTTTCCTACATATTTCCAAAATTATCATTAGAGACCTGGACTAATATCCTAATCAATGAATCTACTGAAAAAGGTCCTGCGACTCAGTAAAAGCGTGTAGATAATGGATGGGAAACTCAAAAAACACTCAGTGTATTAATCATTATCGCTGCCTTTTAATGGAAAAAAATATCGAGTAGGCTTGACACTTTGAGTTCAGCAGCCCTTCAGAGCAGAGAAGGCAGGAAGATTGCCGTATAGGTGGAGATTGCATTTTACACTGTGGAGCTTGAGAGCTGGGAAATATTCGTCGAGTTTACAAATGACAGTCAGGTGGTTTAGTCTGAGTGGACATTAAGTGGTCAAACCTTTTAAATCAACGAGTCTTGAACGGCATTTTTCCTTTCAGATTTCACTTTCCCTTTTGCAAATATATTTCTCACTTGTAAGGTTACTGCATTCATCAAAATTATTGGAAGCAGAAATGTGTGTATTATATATTTATTTATGGTCTGTTTGTAAGTTGACTCATTCAGAATTGTAAATGGAGATGAGTCAACATGCTTGGTCATACAATATGATTTCACCTTTTTTGACTCAATGAAGATGCGCTTCCCTCCCCAAATGTTACCTCTCTGTTCTTCTCTCTCTCTCTCTGTCCGCCCGCCCCCCTCCCCACCACCAAAATCCCAACCCTTGTTACCTTCTCCAGCTGATCCGTTGGTGGGAAGCATCGCCACACAGTACCTGACAAACAGGGCTGAGCATGATCGGATGGCTCGCCAGTGGACCATGCGGTATGCCACGTAAGCGGGTTGTCGCCCAAAAGAGTATTTTCAACAAGGGGTGATCGAGAAGTTTATGGCCCGATGTAGAACTTTCATCGTGCTCACCTTGATAAAACCGTGCTATTGCCCGACCTGCCCCCCCCCCCCCCATGCAGTTCAAAGTGCTTAGTTCCATTGCTCATGAAATATACATTGTCTTCTTACGACTCAAACCGCTCATTTACACCATTTTTTGTTGTCATTATCAGTCAAAAAATGTCTTTCTCTGAAAGAGATTTTTTTGTTTTACTTTTGGAAAACATGCAGAAGTCACTGGAAGGCCCAGATCTGATGATTGTGTGGAATGAGCGACCAATTCAAATGCGACATCACGAGTGGCAGCCGTGGCAACTTGGAACTTGTGAGCTGGACCATTGTTCTGTTAAAACAGCACAATGTATCGTGACGTTTTGAACCTTTTTGATAATTTGTGAAGTTTTTCTTTTCAATTGGGATCTTTGCAATGCTGCCGTGTGATGAATGAAGGTGGCCAAAAAAAATAATGTTGTGACTTGATCTGCCTCCCATGAAACCAACACTTTGCCTAGCCTTGAAGTCTACACTTTAGTGGTAGTGATTGTGTTTCCAATAAATTATCTGAGCTTCGGTCTTTGAATCAAAGTGACAGATGCATGTTTTCATCTTTAGTCACGTGGGTTTTAGATAACCTTTTTTTTTATGGAATTTGATTTATGGTCCAGGTGAACATGACTGCCTGAGTCTAGTTCGCTTTTACTCGACGTTCAACATTTCTGAGGACCCACGTCGTAGACACTTGCTTGTCCCCCTATATTGTTGGTCAATATGCTTTTTGAGATACTATATGATGGGCCACAAGTCTCAAAAATATTTCTTACGATCGGACAGCGGTGGTGTTGATTAGCTGATAAAATGTTTATTATTTTCAATGTTAGTAGTTGGGCGGACATACCCATGGCACATCGGGGTCACAAGTCCTCTTCCACATTAAATCCCCTGCACACCGCTAACCATGAAATATGATGAGGCAGAGTCTGCTTCGTCAGTGTTGGGTCGTGTCCTTGTTTTGACGTTATCGTGTGACTTTTCTCAGCTCGGATTTCATTATTTTTCAACTAACACAGACAATTCAAACTCCTATTCGGCATCAAAACACGGTAATCATCATGAAATCAATTGAATCTGTTAATGGAACATTTACACTTTGCGTTGTAGCACTAATAGTTCTGTGTTGGGCCGTGGATCATTGATCACCCCTTGTCAAACCTTTCATGGAAAAAATAGGGGGAACCGAGATGTATATGGTGTAAAGTCACTCAAACTGTAAAGTGATTTTCTATTATAAAAAGGAAAAAAAACAAAAAGCAACTAATGATTTCTAGAGCCTTTGCAGGTGAGCTTTGAGGTAGCATCGTAGGCCAATTTTGTCTCGTTTCCATTAGGGATGTAGTGCGCGTTTTGAATATAACCTCCAAGAGTTCATAGATTAACGTGGGCAGTGCCAGATTTTTTGCATGTGTCAGTGCGTGTGTTCCAGTTGGTTCCTGATTGCAGTGTTACATTGTATTTTCAGTATCTTGACATGTTGGAGTAGTGTTTCAGCAGTAAACTATTATTCAGGAAATGCAGTCTTTCAAAGGTGGAAATCTGTGTGCGTGTGTGGTATAGAAGAGAGCAAATGTCTCCCTGAATGTCCTTATCAGTTTTTCTTTCGTTACAGTCTCCAAAGGGCGCAGCAGGTTGAATGTTTTCCCCTTTGCTCATGTACAAGCTTGTCCATATGTATCACCATCCAGTAAATGAATGGTGTAGTTCATATGAAGAAAAGTTCATTGCTTTTTTGCTTTTAGATTAATATTTGTATTGAAATTGCCTGAACTAATTTTTAGGTTGTTGCAACCACAACATATTTTAATGTATGTTCAACTTCTTTCGCATCGTACGTAGCCAGCCGTGCTAATCGGAGGTGCGGCGGGAGGGCAACCAACTAAACACAAAAAGCAGTTCTAAAGAAATGAGTTTTTCAATCTAGATTTCAAAGTGCATAGCTCCAGTGGCTTCCTAATATAGGAATGAAGAGCGTTCCAGACGGCCACAGAAGCGCATCTGAAAGCACGCGATGCAGTGACCGTCTTTGTTTGATGGTGCACACAAGCACGGTTTAAGTGGATAGGTAAAATGTTAAAGGATAATATTTTAAGAAACAGCCTTTGTCAGAAAGGAAAAAAATATGTTACTTTGACCAGTGAAGCCTTCTTGAGCTTAATAAAGTAGGGATATGCATGAGTTGTTGGATGTTTAAAAGCTAGTGCAATCTCTTGTTATTGTAAATGTACATAATGTTTACATTTTATTGGAATTTTCCCAACACTAAATTCGGGGGTTTCAGCCATTTCCAAAACATGTGATTAAGACCCTAATTCCTAATCCTTGGCAACTGTGCACTGTTAGATTTCCCAGGAAATGTTAGGCCTGGCAAATGTTACAAACTCATAGCCATGGTTTTCTTTCACCGTTACCAGTAATACATTTTAAATTTAAATCTTTAACCTGTACATTTTTCTGAGGTAAGGCATAATGAATGCAATAAGACGATTTACTGTAACTGTTTAACATGTAGGCTTTCGCGACCAATATCATCCATAATGGAGTTTTTTTGGATTAGATCACGTAAATATATAAAAGTGTCGTTAAAACCCGCCACCACCCGACACAGCCAACTAGTAAGGGTTGTCACGTAAACAGAACGTGGCCAGTTCGTCACTAGTACAGCACACCGGTGTGTTGGAGAGCCAAGCCACAACATTTACAAACCGAGTACGACGTTTCGCCAGTGATTACAACTAGCTTCATCAGGCGATAGCCAGATTTGTGGAGAAGTCTTAACTGTTTCGTTCCTTAAATAGAGGCGTAGACGTGGTGACCACGCTTCTACTCTCTTGCGCCACGTGGGGGGAGGGGGGAAATTCTGAGGCAACGTACATTATGCATTAACCTGATGTCCCATAAAGACCCATAGTTAGTACAATAGGCTCTGCCATGTACAAATTAGCACAATACGTAACGAAACAAATACAGCCCTACATCGGTAGGACCTCTTCGTTCATCAAAAACTCTGAACATCTCGTAAATATAATCAAAGGTAATAAGCTTAACCCTAACGATATTCTCGTAAGTTTTGACGTGACTTCTCTGTTCACGAGGGTTCCGGTCAACGAGTCAATTAAGTTACTCGACACTGGCAACGAACAAAGGTTTAGCCAAAGATATCCCAAGACTAGCTGAACACTGTCTAAAGAATGCTTACTACTTGTGGCAAAGTGACTTCTATAAACAAAAGGAAAGAGCAGCAATGGGTTCTCCTTTGTCTCCTGTGATAGCGAATTTGTACATGGAAGATTTTGAAACAAGCAATAGCTTCAAGCACACTAAAGCCATCTGCTTGGTTTAGATATGTGGATAGCGCATTGGTGGTCTGGCCACACGGCAAATATACACTGAACGCATTTCTAAATCATCTCAACTCGCAAAACCCATCCATCCAGTTCACCATGGAAGTGGAAGCTGACAGAATTCTACCATTTCTGGATTTTCTGCTCGGACGGGGTTGAAGTGGTAAAATAACACACGGTGTTTACCGAAAGAAAACGCATACTGATGCCTATCTAAATGCAGAGTCACACCATCATCCCACACAGAAATCTGCTCTTATCAAGACGCTCATTCATCGAGCTAAGAAAGTGCCAGATGGTGACAGTCTGAGAAGTGAAATTCAACATGTGAAAGAAGCGCTGCAAATGAACGGTTACAATGATGCACAAATCAACAGGGCAAATAATGCCCAAACCAAATAACACGACCATTGAAACTGCCCAAGTAATTAAAACGATCAAATACTGTACATTGTGGGAGTAACTGATAAACTATCCAGATGTTTGGAAAAACAAAACGTCCGAGTCAGATTTGGCACGGTACATAAAATACAGAAATTAATATCTGGTACAAAAGATGTATTACCAAAGCTATCAACAGAAGGTGTGTACAGGGTTAACTGCACGTGTGGTAAATGTTACGTTGGGCAAACAGGACGAATGATCAGCACGAGACTAAAAGAACATCAGAGAAATATGAAATTCTCCCAAATACAACTGTCAGCAGTAGCCTAACACGCGTGCCAACAAGGACACTCAATTTATTTTGATAATGTCGAAGTTCTGTGCAAAACTAGCTACTACTGGCCAAGACGAATTAGAGAATCTATCGAAATTTAAAGAAAAAAAAATAAGTTTAACCGTTCGGATAGCTACCATCTTAGTGCTGCGTGGAAGCGAATCATAAAATAATACATTATTAAAATGCATGCCTACAAAGGGCAGCGTACTTCAATAGGGATTACCGTTGGTACAGCTATTTTAATAAACACAATAGACAGGAAGGACAAGTTCAAAGGGCTCGCATAATGCACATGCATAATGTACGTTGCCTCGGTAATCCCGCCCCCCCCATCATTGTGCAAGAGCGCAGAAGTGAGGTCACCACATCTACGCCTCTATATAAGGAACGAAACAGTTAGACTTCTCCACAAATCTGGCTGTCGCCTGATGAAGCTAGTTGCAATCACTGGCGAAACGTCGTACTCAGATTGTAAATGCTGTGGCTTGGCTCTCCAACACACCGGTTAGTGCTGTACTAGTGACGAATTGGCCACGTTCTGTTTACGTGACAACCCTTACTAGTTGGCTGTGTCGGGTGGGGGCGGGTTTTAACGACACATATTTACACGATCTAACCAAAAAAAAACTTATGGATTACTGTAACTGTTTTATTTGTGTGCTGAAGCTGTACCGTGTGCTGTCGAGTTCCCCTGAACATGACTGTAGTTTATACGATTTACAAATTACATTTATTATGCAAACTACTCATTGGGTTTTTGTTTATTTTATTTGACTGCACCAGCAAGGAAACTCAAGGCCTCGTGTACCATTTAGTGCAATGGAAATGCGCCGTTGTTGCCTGAAAACTCTGCCCCGCAGAGCAAATAGGCACGTGACCTACGTTATACCTAACATTAGTTTCAGTGGCTGAAATGGCAGTGCCACGAGTTATTTTGTGTGCGCATTAGTGGGCAATCCAGAATAGGTGAACAGTGTTTGGGATGATGACAAGGCCATGTCAGCGCACCACTTAAGAGAACAAAAAAAAGCACCACCTCCGTCCAGTTTAAACAATTCTGTACCTGCACAAAGGCACAAAGAGATCGCAGCAATTGAGTGCCGAAGAAGGTTAGCGACTGGGCGAAGAGTCACATTAAGTGTTGGTGGGCGGCGGGCGGGGTATAGTGTCTGATGTGGTCGGCACCATTCATGGCTTTGCACTGGTCAGAACTGCAGTGCAACAAGCAGACAACTGAAGATGTCTGGCTTTTGAATGCAGATGTGATCAGCATAATTTCCTCGCACGATGAGGCGCTCAACTTGACAGTTTTTTATTAAGAGTTTATAAATACAAGAAAGTCGATATAATCATGAAGAGGAGAGGCGCATGCCGGTTGCAGATGGGTTTTGAGGCTTGTCACAAAACAGAGCTCTCGTCTCCTGTACAATGTTCATCAGCAGCTGTTGCCCTCCTGAAAACTGGATCCTTTCTCAGCTCTGCAATGCGACACTCTTTTTCACTCGTGCACAGGATAATTTCAT